ACTTTGAACAGATTTTGCAGTTTTCGACAATTTCTTTAGCTTCTTTTTTCAGTTTTGGAAAAAAATAATCCTTCAAAATTAGTTTCACGTTTTCTTGTGCAGCGCGGTGAGCACGATTAAGCTCCGTAATAATAATTTCAAGTTGGTCATTTGGATCGAATATATCAGTTACTCATTTTTTACAATATTTAAACCTGGTATTTGGAAATAAGTTTATTATATCATGTTGCATATCGGCTAGAATAGGCAAACTGCAATGGATTGCATATAACTACGTTTGTGTTGACAAGATCTTGAATAGTCTCTAAAATAGTGTTTTTGTCACGAAAAGAAATAGCATGTCTTGTTCTATTTCCAAATATAATAAAAGTTCGTTTAGATGCATTCTCAGCTTCTTCTATAACAATTTGGTTTCTGAAACAATTTATTGGTTTTTCAACAGCCTCTATAGTGTAAGTTAATGACTGTTCACTATGAACCGTTGCACAATCGGAATTCGGGTCCTGTTCCATCATATTAACATGTTATCGGGACAAAGCATCAGCCACATAGTTATACTTTCATAGTTTATAATGTAATTTAGCGTTGTGTTCATCAATAAACGCCTTCCAGCGTTTAATTTTTTGCATTTGGATTCCTATCTGAAACCGCAAACGTTAGCGGTTTGTGGTCTGTAAAAATGTTTAAGTACCTTACACCATAGAGGTACGTTTCTAAGGGTTTTTAATGCCCACACTATGGCCAGAAGCTCCCTCTCGTTTGTTGCAAAATTAAGTTAATTTCCATCTCCAAACTTGGAAACGCTTCTTATTCTTCTTCCAATGTCACAAAAGGTCAAGAGTGTGGACTTGCTGCATCCAGTATAATTTATAAATTGTTACACGATATTTCTCCGTAAGGAATATAAATGTCAGAATTTATTATAACGTTACTTCCCAGGCCCCACGTTGGTCGCCAGTTAAATTTATTTATTTATTTGGTTTTTTGTACTTTATAATATGTGACGTACTTTATAATATGAGATGTGACCTTGTCGTTCCGTTTGCCACACTGTTCTGATCAGAACGTACTCCAATAGGAGTCGGCCTACCGCTTTCTCTCTCTGTTGTTAATGTAGATCTTCATTCAGCTATTAGCAGAGAATGTTAATGAATAGAGAAGGAGCAAATGTTAGCTGTTCTAAAATGTTAATTACGATGAGGGAACATCGAAAACGCGCAAGTTCGAAAATAAAATGTCACCACAATTATCAATTTATGCAACAAACTACACCACTATATAAGCAAAATGTATATACATACATATGCACAGATGTTCTTTCTTCCGACAAAAAAATATAAATAATGAGAGACATAATATTAAAATAGAATTCAAATATCATTTAATAAAAAAGGGTTATAAAAATAAAAAAAGACTATATAAAAATATGATAGGATTTAAACTTAGGCAAAATATTTCACGTTGCAATAAACAAGTCTGCTATACAAGCAGCACCACAGACAATATTCAGGTTACTTTGTCTAATCTATGAAGTCAAACAGCTATTGTTGTTTACTTGCTTGCTTCAATGTTCATATGTCTATATGTGAATATTCTTGAAATTGCCTTCCTTCATGAGCATGTCCAAATATATTTGCATATATGTACACATATGTACATATGTATGTCCCTCAATATGTCTTTCGCAAAAAATCAAACATTCGCGCAAGTGACAAAAAAAACGTAGACGCACCATCATCGGCCAATAATATTCAAGCGAACTCGCGGCGTATTTTCTAAGTATTTCATATTACAACGACAACAAATTCATTCATAAGGAACGTGCGTCTGCTTCAAAGCAAAGTGCGTTCGTTCATAACTCTGCACCGCGCTATTTTTTCTGTGCGCCTGGTAAACCACATTTGGTTTTCATATAGAATTCCTACCGCAAATGCGCGAAAATAAAAATGAATGAAATTGAATATGTTGAATGTCTTCAGTAAAATTGAAGATGTTTCACTTTTACAAATTATCCTACTATTCCCCTCGCATTTGTATGTTGCCCAAAAGCTGCTGCCTCAAAACATTTGCTAAAAATCAGAAATTGAAGAATTTGTCTGGTGTTCCCTTCAGAAAGGAGAATTGGCAACATGACCTCTTAGTGATTTGAAATATTGTTTTAATTTTTTTCATATTATGCACTATTTTATAAAATTTACATAAAATTGCCATTCATATGAAATCATTAACTACTTCTATATATTCTAAGCACACTGCATATAGTACTTTTATATGTTNAGGAAGTGGCTTTCCAAACTCTGAAGAAACAGCTAAGTACTGCGCCAATGTTAGCACACCCGGTCCCAGGATCAACGTTTATTTTGGATACGGATGCTAGTGGACTTGCAGTAGGAGGCGTTCTATCACAAGTCATTGATGGGCATGAGAAAGTGGTTGCGTATTACAGCCAGACTATAAGCAAGCCAGAGAGAAATTATTGTGTTACTCGGAGAGAATTACTGGCGTTGGTGAAGTGCTTCAAACATTTTCATAAGTACCTTTATGGCCAGCGATTTCGGGTGAGGACAATTCATGCAGCATTAAAATGGCATCTACAATTCAGGAACCCAGAAGGCCAGCTGCATGGTGGATTGAAAGACTCCAAAGTTACGATTTCTCTATAGAACATCGCATGTCCCGCCGTCCCTGTAATCTAGAATGCAGACATTGCTCAAAAGCTGAGGCCAAAGAGAACATTATAGATTTCCGATTAATGACTATAACATCAGACTGGGATC